TTTTTCTAGTCCACTAATTTTCTCACCTTGTCTATGCATTGTGATCTGTTTTGACAAACCCATGTTGGCTTTTGGTTATGACTTTGTTTGCCTCTAGGTGTTCACTGATTCTTAAATTCCTTAATGCTTAATTTCCATATATAAGAAGCTAGTATGCTCAGAAGATAGGCTGTTCTATTGCATATTGGATCATGAGTTCATATATTGTATGCATGTAATATAATGTAACAAGCTCTGAGTTGCTTGATTGTGAGATGGGCGGGATATAAATTTAATAAATAATAATATAATGTAATATAATGTAATACACACACATATTCAATATGTTAATTTCAATCATGTATACAGATTACTTACAAAAAATATACATGACTTTAGTGCAGGTACGTGTCCCTAATTTTTCAAAAGTTTTATGTAATTCCTATCAACAGTGCTTAAACTATGATGGAGTTTAATTATATATGAATAGAAAGAATGGATATTGCTGCAGTAGGAGATTGGGAAGGAATTAATGAGCCCATTAATAAAGATAAGGAGCTTGAAGTTTCCCAAATAGTATGAACTACCACCTCTAGCAGATTCCATGAACCATGGCAACTAGTGGTGGGAGTTGTCCAATAACATCTGAAGTGCAACTCAGTCCCCAGTTATGATCTAAAAAGCTTAAGAAACGTTGGCCATTTTAATTGTTTCTCCTGGACCGTATCTTTTGCCCATGAATGGGAGGCCAAAGCAAGGGCATTGTATTCTAGCTAACATCTCACATAATGGATGAAGTCTAGAAGTCTTTGTATTTTCTGAAGCGCGTCAACTGTTCTACAATGGTGGATTTCCCTATTTTGATTCAATGGAAGAGTTGGCCTTGTGTGCAAGAAGATGCGATGTCAAAAACATGTCCACTTTATGCATGTTTTTCTCCTGCCTTTTGTGTTATGGAGAAAATAATCTTATTTGGAGCATTTCATTATTTACATTGTAGCATAGCTGTGGTCTATTGCTTATTTTCTTTCAGGTACCTGTTGAAAGCTTTCCATAAGTGGCCAAAATAAAACAAAAAACTCGTGACCATGAATATGTAATATTTTGCCATGTATATAATTTTATATGTTCACTTTAGCACTTATTACCAGCTTTTGTCACTTGTCAATATTTTAATATTAAGACTATATTACAGTATCTAGGACAACCTGATATGGACTGTAAAAACTGACCACTAAGTGCCAACAAAGAAATACTGTAGCAAAACTCTTGATTTATTTATTTTTTTTTGCAACTTAGATCTAGAAACCTTAATACTTAATGCAAGAAAACATCTTGCCCTATTCCAGAAAGCTGTCAGTTAGCACCATGTGTATGTATTGATTAATCCGTCACAATCAGGTTGTGCCTATTTCAAATATATAATGGCAAAATTTACACACAATCATTGATGTACTTTTAGCTGCATATTTGGTATGGTTAATGTATTTCGATGAGACCATAAAATGAAGAATTTAAGGGGAGAGGAAATTCACTGTTGATTCCCCCTTTTTAAATTACCAAGATGTCCCATCAATGTGAAGCTTCCTTTCCAACAATACTTGTTTCTTGCAGCAACTCTCTCCCACCTTCTGTTTAAACAAATGTATTAAACTGTAACTGCAAATTAAGCTGTAAACAAATAGCCAGGGTCATGAAAACCAGGAAAAGGTTTTGGTTGATTTATTATAAGGTATCACTTGTGTACAGAACACTCACCTTTTTAATGTCACTCAATTCGTTGATACTCTATACAGTGTTCAGAATTATTTAAATAAAAAAGGTTATAAAACAAGAAGCACAAACTAGAAAGAAAAACAGTGATCTTCTACATGTGGACTCACAACTGTAAAATCCCTGCTCTAGGAAGCCTACATCCCATCTGGATGTTTTTTTGTTTGAGGGTGAGCATTGCTCAGTTCTCTGGAGGGGAAAGATGCTGTTCCAGGGGGCAGATGTTGTATCAGAGAAAGTGCATCTCCTGGATCACATCAGATCACCTTACTTAAAGGATGGAACCTGGAATAGGCCAACCCTTTTATCTACTGAACTGATGGAGAATTGGAAAATCAATACCTCCCTGGTTTCTAGCAATTCTAATCATGGAGCAGTTTCATCTGATTTAAATATTTAAAATGTGGTTAGGTTTATCTTTTGGGAAAGGTAAGGCATAGTCTTTTGATATGGTCAAAACTGCTGTCTTCTTTAATTTTGTTGTGTCATTTGTTCACAGTATGTCCAACACCACTCCCTCCCACACACATTAAACAAACTTCATATATTATACAAATGAGCTCAGGAACAATCTCTGAATTTCTTAGACTGTAAGTGAAACTATTTTAATTTGCATTTTTTTCTGGGGCTCCACAGAAGGAAAAATGTCTAGAATGATAAGCAGTTCCAAAGTTTTAGATTAATGTTGGCCCAAATGAACAAGAAAATAGCTTATTTGTCAAGACGTTTTGTGGGGTTTTATTTATTTATGGTACATTTCATAAAATGTCTTTTCTATTATAAGGAATCAGTTGTTTGCAGTAATCGGGCCCAGTCCAGTGAAAACAATCTGTAATTAAGTGGAATTTCTAAATATAAAAAATGTTTTGGGCGTAACTCTCATAGAAAGCAATAAGTTCACTTCTAGTAATTATTAGAATACGTTAATTACATTTTACCATAATGATAGAGGTGGTGTTTCTTTCATCTCACCTCTTCACAGTAATTATAGCCGAGAGAAAAATTGCAGCAAAGAATAAACTATTTTTACCATCATACTTTATATTTCTGTCCTTTCTGTTGAGTCAAAGAAATCAGATTTGCATATCACATTAAACTATGTTTTTTGTTAGCCTTCCGAGGTAGTCCAGACAAGCATCGCAGCCAGGATAATTAGCTACAGTGGGGCAAAAAAGTATTTAGTCAGCCACCAATTGTGCAAGTTCTCCCACTTAAAAAGATGAGAGAGGCCTGTAATTGTCATCATAGGTAGACCTCAACTATGAGAGACAAAATGAGAAAACAAATCCAGACAATCACATTGTCTGATTTGGAAAGAATTTATTTGCAAATTATGGTGGAAAATAAGTATTTGATCAATATCAAAAGTTCATCTCAATACTTGGTTATATATCCTTTGTTGGCAATGACAGAGGTCAGACGTTTTCTGTAAGTCTTCACAAGGTTGGCACACACTGTTGCTGGTATGTTGGCCCATTCCTCCATGCAGATCTCCTCTAGAGCAGTGATGTTTTGGGTTTCGCTGGGCAACACGGACTTTCAACTCCCTCCAAAGGTTTTCTATGGGGTTGAGATCTGGAGACTGGCTAGGCCACTCCAGGACCTTGAAATGCTTCTTATGAAGCCACTCCTTTGTTGCCCGGGCGATGTGTTTGGGATCATTGCCATGCTGATAGACCCAGCTATGTTTCATCTTCAATGCCCTTGCTGATGGAAGGAGGTTTGCACTCAAAATCTCACGATACATGGCCCCATTCATTCTTTCCTGTACACAGATCAGTCATCCTGGTCCCTTTGCAGAAAAACAGCCCCAAAGCATGATGTTGCCACCCCCATGCTTCACAGTAGGTATGGTGTTCTTCGGATGCAACTCAGCATTCTCTCTCCTCCAAACATGAGTTGTGTTTCTACCAAATAGTTGTACTTTGATTTCATCTGACCATAGGACATTCTCCCAATCCTCTTCTGGATCATCCAAATGCTCTCTAGCAAACTTCAGACGGGCCCGGACGTGTACTGGCTTAAGCAGGGGGACACATCTGGCACTGCAGGATCTGAGTCCCTGCCGGCGTAGTGTGTTACTGACGGTTGTGTTTGTTACATTGGTCCCAGCGCTCTGCAGGTCATTCACTAGGTCTCCCCATGTGGTTCTGGGATTTTTGATCACCGTTTTTGTGATCATGTTGACCACACGGGATGAGATCTTGCGTGGAGCCCCAGATCGAGGGAGATTATCCGTGGTCTTGTATATCTTCCATTTTCTAATTATTGCTCCCACAGTTGATTTCTTCACACCAAGCTGCTTGCCTATTGCAGATTCAGTCTTCCCAGCCTGGTGCAGGTCTACAATTTTGTTTCTGGTGTCCTTTGACAGCTCTTTGGTCTTCACCATAGTGGAGTTTGGAGTGTGACTGTTTGAGATTGTGGACAGGTGTCTTTTATACTGATAACCAGTTCAAACAGGTGCCATTAATACAGGTAATGAGTGGAGGACAGAGGAGCCTCTTAAAGAAGAAGTTACAGGTCTGTGAGAACCAGAAATCTTGCTTGTTTGCAGGTGACCAAATACTTATTTTCCACCATAATTTGCAAATAAATTCTTTCCAAATCAGACAATGTGATTGTCTGGATTTGTTTTCTCATTTTGGTTCTCATAGTTGAGGTCTACCTATGATGACAATTACAGGCCTCTCTCATCTTTTTAAGTGGGAGAACTTGCACAATTGGTGGCTGACTAAATACTTTTTTGCCCCATTGTATATCTTTCTCAGTTATATTAACAGAATTTTGCAAGCCTGAAAGTACCCCTCCTGACTTTCACTTTTACTCTTCCAAAAACTAGGGGAGGGGTCCATTGAGACACTTTCTCGCCACCCCTCCTTCTTCAGAGTCAGATTTCATTATTAGACTGTTGTCTTCCTCCTGTCTCCCACATACCATTAGTTTCTTTAACTGCAGCTTAAGTCACAAGGAAAGCCACTAAACCAGCAATGTGCAGCTTCCTTTTGCTCCTTCCAGACTCAATGGGGCATACAGGCAAGCAAAGATAATACATAACCAGACTTTCCAGATTCTGTTTCTGTATCTCAGTAAAGTACAGTTCAGCTTTCCTGCAGAGGCAGCAGCTTTTATCTGGTCTACCCTGTAGAATTGAGAGCGTGACTTTTGAGATTCAGAAATATGGCTGGTTCTATCATTACAACCCCTCAAAGCCCTGTGTTGAAAAAAAAAAAATGCTCTCACACAGGTTTCTTAGTGTGGAATAGCCCAGTTTTTATAATCATGAAAAAGTTATTAGGAATATCTGCATCTAAAACAGTATGGCAGAATTATCAGAATCCAGAAAATTTATTACAGCCTTCAAGTCATATGATTGGAGTATCTTAAAATATGTACCATATGAATAAAATCTCTATACTGGCAATGTTATACAAATACTTCCAGCAAATCATGTTTCACCATTTATAGGGCACAGATTCTTGATTCAGTCCATGTATTGTATGTGGTTTAAAACAAACATTTCTTTGGAATGTCAGACAAAAAAATACTATGTGACTTTTACCTGACAATAAAGTTGAGTAGTACCTCAAGTTGGGACTTGAATTGTTTGGGTTTTTTTGTTGGCAGAAGCTTCATTTTACTCTGGATGTACAAAGTTTGTTAGAATAACAACCTGGGAACAGAAATAGGTCTTGGCTCCTGCTGTAGACAAATGGCTGTATTGGGGCACAAGCAGATCTAAGCCCCAGGCTTCAAATGCTAAACTGCAACTCTCATAAAAAAAACATCTAGTATGGGGATGCATGAAAATGATGCATACTATAGAGAAAAAGTGAGGGGGAAGAATTTTATTGCTGTCTCTTACAAGAAGCAGAGCATGTGAAATCAGATTATGAGCTGTTTATGATGATGAAACAAAAATACTTTCTCTAACAGCATAGTTTAACAGTGGATTTCAATTCCACAAGCTGCTGCAAAGTTACTCACTTCTCTGTCATTTAGGCATGTAGTATTAAAAACCTTTGGATTAAATCTTTTTTTAATGTACAACAGTAGAAATGCTGTATTTTTCTAGTTCCTATATACTTTGGATTCCTGATTCATAAACATTCATGCATTTTCATGATTTGCCATAATTACACAGCAGGGAAATTTTTTTTTGAAAGGAGTACATGTATATCACACAAGAAGTGTTAAAGGCATGTACACATGAACACTCTTCTGCTGGTTATTATTTTGCCACATTTTGGCTTTTTATTTTTATAACCCAAACTGCTGCATTGAGACTTCAGATTTCGCAGTTTGTTTTAAAAGAAGTTAAGAATAACCTGACCTCTTCACATGCTAGAACCAGCTACATCACATATCAAAAAGAGGAAGGGAAGTCTGGTCTGAATGCTTAGTTAATTCCTGTATCATGTGAATAGAATCATATTAAATCACATTGGAGCTAAAATAATCTGTTTTTTAAAGGACACTTTGATCCAAAAGGATGTGGCCTTCAATTAAGAATAAATTTGCATCTCAGATTGCTAGTCTACATGGTTGTGCCTTTTTCTTAGAGTTTGAAACCTGAAATTAAGAACACATAATGCAAAATGTTACTGACTGGAGGTGATAGGAGCTTCCGGCAACAATAACATATTAATTTACACTCAAGTTATTTAAGAGGAAGTACTTTTATTAATCCTACTAGGACTGGGACCAAGATCTACTTAAATCCAAACCTATGTATTGAACTATGACTACAAATGTAGTTTTGTAGATGTCAGTTAAGTTTTCTAGCACTAACTTCAGCAAGATTAAAACTGCATCATTTTGTACCACAGAACAGGAAAGTGTGAATCAGGTTCTGATTTAAAAAAAAATATGACAATAGGTTATTCATTGCATTCCAGACAACAGTTAGGAGTAAACATTCAGTTCTGGAATGCAGATAATATACAAGAATCAATATGTTACATTTACAAAGCTGTTTGATAAAACAGTACATTTTTCCAGATTAAGTATGTAAAAAGGTATAAGTTGGTTTCACAATGACTTTTAGTATGATACTAAAATACACCGGTATTAAATCAAAAATATATATATTTACATGTATATAGTATAAACCTTAAATAGAAGAATGTACCTCCTGTAGGAAGTTTTAAGAGAAAACTGAGATTGGCCATTGTATAGTGTAATAAAACCATTTGGTCTTCACATTATGAAACTGCAGTAGTGTGACTAGTGTTCCTTTAGCTATTTTACAAATTACACATCAAATTAAAATTTTTCCTTAAGTGGTGGCTTTAATTCCACTGTATTTTAGTTTATTTAAGCCCACTCCAAGCAGCTCAGGACATTCAACTTGCTCTTGTGCAATTTCGTTGCATTTCCACATTAGGCTGTAATTCATCTCTTCCGAGATCACACTATCATGCTTGTATTCTGGGTGGTTTGCAACAAATTCTCGCATCCATCTAGCAGCTGTCATTAATTCGCCTAAGGGAGACATCATAGGGTATGCATTAAAATTATTTTAATTACCTCCCCATATGAAAATATAGCTTTCCATTTACTTTTTTTTAAGTTTAGCCTTCATTAAAAGGTTAAATTTCCATATTACATACAAATAGTATTCAAGAGTACTATTTGTAGAAGGAGCTAAAGCATTAGTTTACCATACTATATATATTATAAACTCAATGAATTCAATACGTTTTCCACCACAGATCTGTCAATGAAAACAATAACAAATAATTCTGAGTATTACCTATACTCGGAAGAAACAGTTTGTAAAGGTATTATTTTTATAAAAAATAATAAATTAATGGACAAAAAATAAAATAAAGGACAAAATAATAAAACAATGGACAAAATGTCAATAAAGTTATCATTAACCTTTTAGGGGAAAATCAAGTATTTATTTGTAAATAGGAGCTGATATACAAGAAATGGAATAAATTAAACCGTATAAATACATAAACTCCAGGCTTGGGGCTTTAGATATTATATATCTAGAGCACCATTTTTTTCCTACTTGACAACCCGTATACAGGTAATCCCTGACTTACGAACACAATTGAGCCCAACATTTCTATTGCTAAGCGAAACAGTTGTTAAGTGAATTTTGTCCCATTTTATGACCTTGTCACAATTTTGAATCACAGCAGTTTTTAAATTATTAACACGGTTATTAAGTGAATCTGGCTTCCTTGCTAATTTTGCTTGTCAGAAGTTTGTAAATATCACCCTGGGACACTGCAGCCATCATAAATATGAACCATTTACCAAGCAGCTAAATTTTGATCACGTGACCACGGAGATGCTGCAACGGTCGCTGATGTGTGAAAAAAAAATGGTCATAAGTCACTTTTTTTCCAGTGCCGTTGTAACTTCGAACGATCACTAAACGAATGGTTGTAACTCGAGGACTACCCATATAATATCCAATGTCTATTCATACCTGATGCTCTCTTTTTTATTAGTTTCAGATAGTTTAGAATGCTGCATCTTGTATCCACGTCCACTTCCATGTTTTCAAGGTAAGAGTTCAAAATTGGAATTAATCCTGGAAATACTCCTTCCTGGAAAAGTTAAACCATTGTTGAAATAAAGTTGCTAAAATATTTATTTTTCCACTCAAATATTATAATAAACTCTTGTGTTTTGATATGGCACAAGAGCGCCCTCTACGCCGGTAGGCCTATAAAAGAGGTTATGCTTTTCATTGACTGTGCATTTTAAATAATGATTTTTCTATATAATACTTAAATACTAAGGTATAATTAGAGAAATATAATGTGTCTTTTTTACTGAATAGTAGTAATAGCAGGGTCCAGGGAAGCTTAGGTCAGCTGCTGGGTAATTTTCTGGCTGGCTACTAGGCATCAGAAAGGAAGCAAAGCAACAACTAGTCTCTCAAAAGAATCTGCTTTTCACTTATTCTCATTGTATAAAATAGTGAGACTAGTATTAAACAGGAAGGTACAAGAAGAGGGAACATTTACATAACAATTATCTAACCTGCAGCTCAAATAATCACTGTCAATCATCTCTGCAAAAAACTATGAACATGCTCTATAAGTCAATAACTTGTTCAAGCAGGTAATAAGTCATTAGAGTAATGAGGCAGCTTTTAAATTTATATACAGTAATAAACCAAAGAGAACTGGAATACAAAATATTCAGCATAAAGACCTGTTCAAAACAGAAACTAAGCATGTTTGAGTTATGTTCAGATCTATTTATTTCTAACCTCTTATGCTGGTATAGAATTTGGACACTTTTAGGAAGGCTTTTCTGCAGGCCTGATAATGTAATAGGAAATGCAGAATTGCCTGTTGGGATCAGTCCAGTAATTTGTGATTGGAGGAGAGATTAGGTCCAGCTTCCAGGAAAGCATTTCTGGAATTCCTGTTCAACTGTTTCAATTTTAGTGTCTGAACATAGGCACATGTGCTCTTGGTAGAACATATTATTGTATCTCCCTATCAGCAGCAAAGTGGAATATCAGGGTAAGTATGCCTTATGTGACAGCACCTGAATATTACAAAAATATTAGAAAATGGTGAAAGATGAATAATGAGATTACTGTAGCCGAAATCTGAAATGTTAAACCAGTCCCTTTATATATTAAAATCTAAAATTCTCTGCTAGATTTCACTTCAAGCTTTATTGAGGTCCAACATAGAGAACAACGAAGGGCAGCTAAACTGTTGCTATTGTTTTATTTGGAATATTTCCTCTGTACAACGGTGTTTAACATTTTGTGAACCTTTATGAATTTTCAATATTTCTTCATAAATATGACCTAAAACATGATCCGTTTTCCACATAAGTCCTAGAACTAGATAAAAACTCCAGTTAAACAAAAACCTTATATTGTTCATTTATTTCTGAGGAAAATGAGCCAAAGCTACATATTTGTGTGGGGATAGTATGGCATCTCTAGAATTATTAGTTCATTTGAAGGAGAAATCAGAGCCAGATGTTTTTAATCAGATGTCAGTGTGGGAAGTCCTGCCGTTACAGTATTTCAAGAATAAAATTCTTGAATTTTAAAATCTGATCTTCACAATAAAAGTTTGTGGGAAGTATGGCATGGCTGGAACAAAGGAAATTTTTGAAGTCCTCTGATAATACGTTCCCCCAAAAGTCAGACCTACCCCGAAAATAAGCCCTAGCTTGATTTTTGAGGGTGGGCCTAATATAAGCCCTACCCCAAAAATAAGCCCTAGTTTTGGAGCGAGGCACATACCTAAAAATCAAGCTAGGGCAGGAGGGGTAGTAGAGTTGCCTCAGGTGCACCGCACCCGCTTACCTTAGGACTGCTGCAGCCAGGACTCCCACACCCGAATACCTGTCGTGCTGCTGCCTGAGTTCTTCTGTGGCCACTTGCATGGCACATCGCACTGCTGCAGTCACTCGGTGCAGCGAGCAGCGCAGCCTCTTCCTGTGAGCGGTGGCAGCGGTGCGATGAGCCTCGTAGTGCAAGTGGTGGTAGCAGTGCAATGAGCCTCGTGGCATGAATGACACAATGAGCTTCATGGCCTGATACACCACATGGCAGGCAGCTACTCATGTGGCAGCAAGATGGGTCGGGGTGTGGGAGCCCTGGCTGTGGCGGTCCTGAGGTAAGACATCCCCCCAAAATAAGACCTAGTGCCTCTTTTGGGGGAAAAAAAATAAGACTGGATCTTATTTTGGGGGAAACACAGTAGTTGTAGATGATCACCAGTCTGAAAAAGTTTACAAAACTGTTTGTATTAGTTGAAAATTCAAAAGGGTTCACAAACTTTCTAGTTGTTTTTCTGTGCGGTTTTTTTTCTCTAGTTCATTTGTATTCTTTTTTTCTCAACCATTTCCTTTTAATATCTAGACTTCATAGACTTAAAAGAATGTGTAAGTGTATACAGCTGTATTACTACCCTCTAGGTTCCAGAGTAGTCTTTTAAAATTATTCCTTCCTGTCTCACTTCATTTCTGAAATTAACATGTTAAAATAATAATTAGTTCAAGATGTCTTAAAGACCAAATCAAGAGAAGTAATTTTCTTTTGATTGTTATCCTCAGTTAAGGGAAGATCAAAATCGGAATTTATACTTGCTTGCTTTTGATCACAACCCTGGTTCTTAATCTAACTCTTTATCAAACCAATAAAATATGACAAACTGCATGAATAGTTGACCTTACCTTTCCATTAATGATTGTATCTATGCTCATTAATGTATATTCTTCTACATCTGTTTCTGTACCATTTTGAGTTGCACCACACCCATCCACTATTGCATTGCCACCTTTAAAAAAAGAATTAGATTGAATGAAGGGTTCAAAACATCCAAAGAAACCAATTTGTTTTCCATTTGTTTTATACTCAAATGTAATAAAATCAACCTGAAAATAAACAGCATACCTTTAGAAATGTCTTTTCTAAAATAAAACATGCCCTGCCGGACAGCATCTCGTTTCTGAGCTACTTTCATGTTTTCATCCACCTAAGAAAGGGGGGGGGGGAGGAAAATGTTACACTGGGGTTCTTGCTAAAATGGTAATAAATGTCATTAACTTTCTAGTCAGAAGACTTTAGAAATTGCACTTTAGAATAGATTTTCACTAGTGATTATGCAACAATTTGCATAATTACTAAACATGATTATGTAAAACAAAAATGAACCCTAAGAATTCTGATTACAATTGGAGTTCTAATGCAGTATTGGTCTTATGGAATGACTGCTATCTATCTTCAAACATGCTATCTTATCTTAACTATGATTTTTCCATGTACCTAAACTCTTGAAATAATTTAGTCAACTTTCAACTATTCCCTCACTAAATTAGGGAATAGCTGAAATGGTAACCAAGAAAATGCCATTTTATTTTATCTTAATTTACTGATATTTACCGAGGCATATCTTAACTGTTATAGATGCTTTTGTAGGATCGAATATGGGTCGGTCACTTGAACCAGAGGCGTAGTCTTCTGAGCTTTCAGACACATGCTGCAGCCCCATCCTCAGGGTACCATCTTCTCTACCAGAATGTGTGCTTTGAGCTATTCTATGCATATTTATGGTTGTGCATGACTTTTTATTATTGCTTGGGGTGTTGATGGTCAGTTATTAAGTCATGGGCTGTTATTTCCTTGTGCTATCAAATCCAAAAGCTCGGAAGACTAAACCTCTGATTCCGTTGACCAACCCGGATTGGATCCTGCAATATTATCCTGGGACATGTATATTTGCCTTCATTCATATGATGCTTTTGTTGATTGTATTGTAAAATGCTTTAAGACCTACTGATTTGGCAGTACAGAAGAATAAATAAATATTACACAAACACTCTTACCTTGGACAAAGGAATGAGAAAATCTAATTTATATGAGAGAATGACTCGAGTTAATAGTACAACAAACACAACGTATGCTGAGTTTTCAAAGTCTGTTAATTGGACCTAGAAATTAAAAAGTATTTTTTAGAATTGTTGAGGTATGTATATTATATATATCCCAAATATATACAGAAAGATTCCATCATAGATTCTGATTAAGATATCAGACTTAGAATCTTTTGTTAAATATTATCAATATTACAGTATACCTTTTTTGTGCAAGTTTTCCTAAAATAGGATTCCAGAAACCAACTAATGGTATGGTTATTCTTGTGTAGAATTCTATTGTTACATGTTCTCTTTTGAGAATTCCAATATTGCCAATTATCACCAATATTAATTTCTGATACAGACAAAAGAATACTTGCAAGTGTAAATCAGTATTTTAAAATGTTATTTCAGAACTAATGCAACATTACACAGAAGAATGTAATTAAGGAATGATATGGAATTTGTGATTCTTTCTGATTTGATTACAATTTAGTTGAAACTAAGACTATCCCAAGCTTAAAAACTGTGACAGGCAATCATTGTTTGTAGCGATGGTAAATTGCATAACTTATCAAGATACTTAAATGTGTATCACAAAAATGTCAAAATAGAAAGCATGAGCAGAAAGACACAAATGTACTAAAGTATGTACTAGAGTTTTCATTCATAACACAATCTGCTGAGCATGTTTAGTTCTTACCTCCATTGGTCTGAACTCAACTCTCCATCCAATATCTGAATTTGGAGGAGGAGGCTTAAATCTCATAGTCTGCCAATTTGTTGACTGAATATTCTACAGGAGACAAAACAGGTATTATTAGGCTATAACTTCTACGCGCTCATCACAGCAAGTAAAACCTTAAAACTTTTGAGAACGCATGATAAAACAATAAGCTGCAAAACTGCCTCAATTGCACTAGAGCATGAAAGAAACTTTGTATTGAAAATATTTAGAATACTATACAGATAGTCTTTGAGTTACGACTGCTACTGGGACTGCTTCGTTGTAACCCAAGATGCTCGGGTTGTTAAGTGGGAAGTGGAGGGAATCCCTGCAAAGAGGCGCAATGTAGGCCGTGCACAGATTTGGGGAGGAAGGTGCCGCAGTGCGGCGCAAGCTCAGGAAGTCCAAGGGATGGAGGATGTGGGATGCGTGCCAATGCAGGGAGGATTTACTGGAGCAACTCATAGCCTTCCGGCTGGCTTCCACATTATCTTTGCTTGTGGGAAGCTGACAGGGAAGGTTGCAAGTTGTGATCATGTAATGGCTGGATGCCACAACCACAAGCTTCCTGCCAAGCACCTAAATCATGATCATTGTGAGGGTGGTGAAACAGCCAGGAGTGGTCTTAAGTGCCACTTATTCAGTACTGTTACAACTTTGAACAGTTGCTGAACAAGTAGTCAGTAAGTGAGGGCTATCTTTATATATTCTCAGGTTTTGTTTGCTTTTATTAGGTGAGATATAAATGCATACTATCTATATTGATAGAAACTGGACCATGCCAACCGTGTCTAATCATAGACTGAGCAGAAATAACAGGAGGATTCTGTACTTATTCATTTGTTTTTGATTTTCCACTACTGATACTTAATTAGAATTTAGTAGTCCTGGGCAGATCAGTGTTTTCAGCAAGTATACAGTTTTCATCCTCCCCCCCCCCCTTCATTTTCATATGGAGCCAACTCATATCATACTCCCTAAATCACACACTGACCTATGCTCTAAAAACTGAGTATTACGCTTTTTGTCACATTACCAATATGAATAATTTAAACACAGAATTTGTATCTGTGTTCATATATGCAATGAAATACATACTTACAAGTTGTCATTTAAGAAATACTGAAGAAACACATAAGCAGCAAATAATTATTTGGTATAACTAAGTGCTACTGTAGTTTTGATCCTTTTTATTAGAAAATAAATGGTATATTAAATAAACTATGACAACTTTTAATATAAACTAGTATAACAATATAACCTCAAAATGGTCAGATTCATTTGCATCATCCAGATGTATTTTTTCTTCAAACAGTGTCAAAGGGTCACGAATAAATAAGTGAGCAATGTGTTGTGCCAAAAGATGATCAATGCCTACAAAACCAAGAAATTGAGATATCCATTGTTAAAAAGCAAGCGACTTTATTAAATATAATGTGCACATTTATTTGCTTGCAGTAACTCAAAAGAGCTGAGGAGAGATGAAACAGTCACCACAAACACATGAATGAAATATTTTGAGTTTGATAGGAAATATGATAGCTGACTCATTCTTTCAATCAAGAATGAAACTGCTTCCAAGATGAGAGATCACTGCAGAAAATTAACTAATATATCTAATGCTGCTTTGTGTTATACTTCAAGAACAGCTTGCTTAAATTAATCACAAGTAGTCCTTTTTAAGGATTGTGTCCAATTAAGGAGGGGAAAAAGACAAAGGCATGGAGCCTCATTGTCACACTGATTTAAATACTTACCCTCTTTTACTAGATGCTCATAGATTTCTTTATCTATTGTCAAATCAATGTCATTGTACTTTTCACCGCATTCTGAGAGATAACTGTCTATGGAATCGTATCTGGATTTATTGATTCTGAAACGGTTGTTCTTCAATGGCTATGTAATTTAAGAAGAAAAATGTCTAGTACCTATTGTCATTATCTGCAAGAGATACTATAACACTGAGTCATTGTAGCATTGTAACCAAATGAAAACATATTTTTCAATAATTTAACTATATATTCATATATAGACACACACACACACACACACACACGTTTGTATGTATGTATAATTAAAAAATAAAGAAAGAGGTGGGAGTGTTTAACTATAATTAACAAACATTATCAAATGATTAAATGATACAAAACCATAATGCAAAAAGAAAAAAGTAAAGAGAAGGAGATGATAAACCTCTTCAATGAAAGAAAATCTTAAACAATCTAACAAGTGAGATGTGGATCAATTGCCATGCTAGAAAAGGTTACAGATATAGTTAGAATAATGAAACATGGGAGGCAAGTGACAAAATTCAACCAAATCTGGGTGAATTTTACTAGTTTTATCTCCTGCTATTGGCAATAATATAATATACATGGTAAATATGAATATCAACATGCATAATACTTTTTATGTCATACTCAGAACCCAAGATTTGAAATCTGATGTACACAAATGCTGTACACAAAACAGCACCTAAAAATCTGATCTAAATGTTTTTTCTCAGAATACATAAAGCTGAAACAGTTTTCATATCTCTGTACTCTAATTTCTCAATTTTGATGACCTAATCTAATCAACCTTATCTATCTTAGAAGGTAAGCAAGGTTTGACTTTGGTATTCATTACAGGAATACCAGGACTGTCAATTAGGGTGGAAAGCCAAAATGTATTTCAAACGTAGGCACTGGGAAAACATTTCCATTATTATTGCCAGGAAAAGTAGATTTAAAAATGTCTTCACTTTCTACATTCTAACAATTTAAAGAAGAAAAAAAATACTTAATGAGCAAAAAGCTTAAAAATTAATAAGGAAAGTTTTCAAGCACTCAGGAATGAAATATAAGTTTAGGAAGAGAGATTTTTGTGCAACAACATGGATAGCTTGGCTAACCACTCTTGCAAGCTCTTAACTGCTTTTCTCATAAATGTCTCTCTCTTTAGAACAGTGTTTCTCAACCTTGACAATTTTAAGGCATGTGGACTTCAACTCCCAGAATTCTGGGAGTTGAAGTCCACATGCCTTAAAATTGTCAAGGTTGAGAAACACTGCTTTAGAAAAACAAAATACACCCCCCCCCCCATGCAAAGAGAACGTTATTCCTTAGATAATTTCAGTCGCTATATATTTCTATTTTTCATTTCTCTTGCTCAATCCAGTTTGAAGACAAGATTACATCACATATATATTTCTGCACACTTATTTGATAATTTTTTGACAAAAAAGAATTGTATTAGTGACTCTGCCTCTGCAAAATTAAAAGAAATACCAGACGAATGTAAAACACATGACTTTTTTATAAAGATCATACTAAGGAAACAAATGAAGCATTTTTAATAAACAGGTTTGCAACTCTGTAATCAATACATACTAGAGAAACAACTGATCTATGTATTAAAACTCACATACCTCTAGACCCCTCTCCTCTCTTGTTCTGTCATCTACTGATGCAGATATAATTCCCCAACGGCAATCAATATCTGTCACATAGCCTCTGTAAAAAGGAGCTGCAGCACTTAAAGCCATCTAAAAGAATATTTGAGAGAATGTAATGTAACAAATTATCCACGCAGTACCACATAAAGCTAAGCAAGTATGATCTTGAAATACAAACAAGATGCTCTGTTTATCTTCATCAAATTGCCATTATTTACAATTGTACGAATTGTTTTACTAGCCAAGCAGACTCCATTTGCACTCTGTTCTTTTTATTTATGTGTGCTCAAAAACAGTATCTTAGAGATGCCTATAGAAGTGGTTCAATTAAGAATATTTGCTATGTCCCCAATTCTATTTAACAAGCATTCATCTAATATTTCTTATATGTTGTACAGTGGGCATCATCTGAACTTATATTTATTTTGAACATCCAAAGCTACTGGTCTTTTTAAAATTATGTTCAATTGATACTCCCATTCATGCATTATGGAAAAAGAGATAGCTCAAAGTCAATATGACAAGTCCCCCTTCAATCCCAACATAGTGCATACTTCAAGTTTGAGGAATGTAAAAACTATGTATCTGTAAGAACTACAAAAGTAAGTTTTTAGACTTAGGCAAGAAAAATTAAACACACAGGTACAGAATAGGTGGTACCTGGCTCAATAGCAGTAACTGGGAGAGGGATTTAGGAATCTTAGTGGACAACCAATTAAGTAGTGAGCCAGCAGTGTTAAAAAAAAAATCCAATGCAGTCCTAGGTTGCATCAACAGAGGGACAGTATCAAAGTCACGTGAAATGTTACTACCGCTTTATAATGCCTTGGTAAGACCACATTTGGAATATTGCCTCCAGCTTTAGTCACCACGGTTAAAAAAAGGCGTTAAGACTCTAAGAAGGCTGTAGAAAAGAGCAACAAAGATGAGTAGGGAGCTGGAGGCTAAAATATAATGAATGGCTGCAGGAGCTGGGTATGTCTAGTCTTAATAAAGAGAAGAACTGGGGTGACATAATAGCAGTTTTCCAATATTTGAGGGGCTGTCACAGAGAAAAGGGGGACAACCAATTCTCCAAAGCACCTGAGGGTAGGATAAGAGGCACCGGATGGAAACCTATCAAGAAGAGATCCAACCCAGAACTAAGGAGGAATTTCTTCAGTTAGAACATTTAATCAGCAAATAGTTTGCTTCCAGAAGTTGTGGGTGCTCCAACACTGGAAGTTTTATAGAGACTGGACCGCCATTTGTCTGGAATGGTATAGACCAGCGGTTCTCAACCTATGGGTCACGACCCCATTTGGGGTCGAACGACCATTTTACGGGGGTCGCCAAACAACGCGATCCGCCATTTCCCCCCCTCAGGGGGCGCCGCCACGCATGTGCCGCGCGCATGGGGGCGCCGCCGCGCATGCGCCGCGCGTCCGTGTGATGGGGGTTGCCGTCACACAAACGTTGAGGAACGCTGGTATAGACTCTCCTGTTTGAGCAGGAGGTTGGACTAGAAGAGCTCCAAGGTCCCTTCCAACTCTGATATTCTATATTCTTATGCGGACAGTACTTTGAGAATAAAATATTATGTCAAGGTAAAATGTGCTACATGGGCATGGCAACAAATATTGCACTACAAATACTGCTGTATTTTTTTTCCTCCAGCCCTAAGAAACAACTTGCAAACTTTTCTGATCTCTTTTATCCCTTCCATATAATTACCAATTATGGGAAATTTTAGCTTCCCTTACTGAACATAAACAATCTCCACTAATTTACAAATCTTATGTTGATTGTTTTGAGGGTTGAACAAGCTTTTAATCTTTTTTGAAACAGATTTTACAACAGCTTTTTAAAAACTGTTTTATGCTTGTACCTCCCATCATAAAATATGTCTCTGAATAAAAATGTGTGTACAATAATAAAATGATTTCACTCACCACAATGGGGCAGATGGTGGCTAGCTGATCATAAAGATATCTTGCTTCAAAAATGCTGCAGGCTTGGAATGTTACCTACAAAATAAATAAAAACCTACCATGATTTATGATAAAAGTGCATTGTCAATGTTATTGCACTTTCCAAAAATGATAAAATATGAGTTCACTGAATTTTGAGCTGCAAGATTATTTCTTTCCCATAGACATGGGATCATACCTATAGTGGGAATTAAGTCCCCTTTTTCCTCCTTGCAGAATCTTGTTGCCATTAGGCAGAACAAACACTATCATATGTATTCTTTGCTTTTCAACATTCTTCCATACTTCTCTTTGGAAAGAAAAATAAACACAGAAATTCCACCATTGCTTTTCCTTCTTCCCCCAAAACAAAAATCATTTCTACAGACTTACTCAAGAATTCAGTTCCCAATCACAAGTTGATTTATGATATTTTGAGTAAAGGTAGTGCTCAGCTTATGACAAATGGGACCAGATTTTCCATTTCTAAGCAAAGACACTTTTTTCCAGTGCTGCGATCATTTTGAATGGTCACTAAGCAAATGCTCGCAGGTTGAGGATTACTTGTATTGAAATGTAAAGAGCAAAATGTTGCTTTTTTAGCCATATATCGAACATTTTCACTTATATTGTATAAGACCTGTCTTACCTATGTCATTCCTTTTTCCTTTAACTCATCTAAGAATACAGACATTCATTCTTCACAGCAGGCACCTTATTCTTCCTCACCATAAATATCAGGATGTGTCATTTTTGTATCAATCTTTCACTTGAACATTTATTTTGCAATTTTGATGTGTCCTTCTAAATACCTCTGCGCTCCTCATGACCTTTTTATTTTGCTTTACATTGTGTGGCGCTCTACTTTTCTTTCATTTCATCTCTTTACATTTAATTCCTTAATTGTTTTATCTATTTGCTTTGTTGGTACCTTATTTTGCAATTCACTGCCTTCAGATGTTTAAGAATTCAGTCACTCATACTATTCAATGTAATTTTTCGAGTCTTCTTTCCTGTGTTATTTTTTTTTTTCATCTCTTTTCTTATGACTGAATTTTAGTGATTTCTGACTTTCCTTCCTTGTGTGTCTATTAGATGATAAACTTGCATCTTGTATTATTTGCTATCTACTACTGATTTATCACTTGCTTACAAAACATTAACAATTACCACAGCTTGCCATGAAGCTTGAATTAAGTTATTATTTCTGGAAAGGAGAAAAAAAGTGCATAACTGTGCAATGAGCAGCCGGGAAAAATACATACATGTAATATATAAAATCTGGCTACCGAATATGTATCTGTTATGAAAACAATACAAAACCAAAAGAGAGCAGTTAAAAAAAAAAACTTAACAGTGTACTTATTTCAGTGAGTTTACCTGAAGGCAACAATTGCCCATGCCAAATCCCATGGCATCCATATATACATGATCGGGCTTAGCTGCTCTTGCTGCTTCACCATCATCACTAGGAAATGTTTCTATAAACGGTGATGGAGTATTCTTGTCCTTAAATACTGCATAAGACATTTGACAAGAGGTTAAGCTCCTTGCTCAATTTTTAATTTATTTTTTAACAGTTAATTGCTTTTTTTCTACTTACTTGGTACATTTATAACTACTTTTTCGCCTCTTCTACGTCGAATATTTCTCGTTAAAGTACTAAAAAAAAATATTGGGAGATGTCTCAAAACAAACATTTTTCAATTGTTTCAAAAGTTTTTAGATTAATATTTGGTTTATGGGTGAAATGTTTTTTGTTCTCAATTACCCCTTACTACACACTTTCCTAACCTGCTATGCCGATTAAAAATTATTATATTTGCATTCTAGTGAATTATTTGAAGCAACAACACTATCTTGGTACAGAGAAATGAGAAATAATGTCAGAATAGAGCTTACTTATTTATCTATACAGCAAGGTAACATTTATAGTAGTTGCTATAATAGTTGACAAGGAAAAGCAAGAAGAGAAAAAAAGAATAGGAAGCCTATTATACATCATAGTTCCAAAGAGGTTTCTTCACAACTAAAACAGGATTTCCTAACTGGGGCTTGTATGCATAACCAAACGTATTCTCAATTAACCAATTTGAAAGCATTCAGTTTTTGTTGCTGGTTGATACGTCATGAACAATTTATCTAGAGCCTTCCATTATGTCTGAACTTGGAATATTTGTTTATTTTTGTAAAACTTTTGTGTTCTGGCCATAAACACAAGGGAAAAAAAGTAGTCCTCATTTAAGTAACCACAATTGATACCGGCAGCTCTGTTAAGAGAAAAATCACCTGACTTGACCAGGTTTTCCTTTCCTCACTTCCTTGCCCTTTGGAATGCTTCACCCCAGAGCTGAGAAGGCAACTCAAAACTGACAAGACTAATCAGTTTCACACCTTGGGCTTTTAACAGAATTAATATTTGTGTTTATATTCAGAAATTGCTGGGTGTTTTTTTTTCTTTTTTGCTCTTGTTTAAGCAATTTTTCTGCTCTGCTAGAGGGAACAAAAAATAAAAACCAAGCAATTTCTGTATGCAATTTGTCCTGTGCCTGATCTGCTCCCCCTCCACCTCACAGACTAGAGCTTAGAAAGAAATTATAAGAGAGTAAGCAGGTACAAACTGCGGAATACACTGGACATTGTTCCTGGTCAGCCTTCAGAAAGATTGCCTTAGCCAGTGAAGTTCCTGATCAGCCTTGATAAAGCAGCTGCCTCTCTAGACTTAAGGAAAATTGCCTTTGTTGGGTTTCTAGATATGCCTTACATTGGCTGGACACATCTGTCACAGCTGCAGTGAAAGGGAAAGGTAATTGGACTAGACACAGTGGGGCAGGCCTCCCATGGATGGGTGGGTGGAGGGGAGAGAGGAGGCCAAGGTGGTTGAGGCCTTCTAGCCCATGATGGGGAAGGAAGTGCAGTGTTACTGCAATTGTAAGGGTCATATTTTGATCACATGACTGCAGAAGCGCTGCAATGGTTGGAACTTTGGATAGAGGTTGTAAGTCCCTTACTTCAGTACCATCATAATTTTGAACGGTTGCTAAATAAACAGTTGTAAATTGAAGATTACTTATTGAGGTTTTGAGCACATAAAACAAAGTGCTCATCTTACAAAATGGAAATCCTCAATTCTCAAAAAATTTATAAATATATACAGCATATAAATTCTCACCTGCCACAAAAAGCCTATAATTCTAAATAGTCTCCACAGATCAAAAATATACGCAACGAAGTTCATGGACAACCTACAACTATATAAAATTAGATCTCCCCAAAAAAAATCACAGAAAGCAGACAATGCAAGAATATACACAAATCAGAAACTCAATGGCCAATTCCTTTATGTGTGCCTTCATGCACATTTAAATTGATACACAGAAAGAACAACCTTCTCTATCACACATAAAACATATAGCAAGCAGTAGATAAAAATAAAACTAAAAACCTTATTCAAAATGTTAAATGATCTCAAATACAATGTCTAAGATTATGGAGAAGTGCAGACACAAAGGCAAGCTACCTCTGAATCTCTTCTAAAATAGCATTGCCTGCAGAATTAATGTTATAAAGGATGGTACTTTTGGCAGCCTACTAAAAGCATTGATAAAACTAAAATACTATCTATAGAAAGAGTAACTACATTCAACATGAGTGGTGAACCTCACACCAAATTTAAATTTGGAATATTATTATTATAAATTAGCATATATTACATCATCTACATTTAGAGTATATCTGTATTCCTATTCAAAGCATACTTACCTAAACCTGGGATGATTGTTTATAGCCTCATCTGGGAAGAAAAGAGACTTTGAGGCTCCCGTCTCAATAGGTGTTGGATGATATGCTGGTATCGTAAATCCTGGACAACCTAATCTATAAATTCCAATCAAATTGTGATAATTTAGGATCTCTAGTTGATAAAGATTTATTTAGTAAAGTTATATTAGAAGTATTCCAGAACAAAAGTAAAACCAAAGTTTATTAAGATTAGTACTTATGTGTTTGGCACAACTCTTCTATAGACACTAATCAAAAAGGTTACAGGCAGTGGTGGGATTCAAATACCTGAACAACCGGTTCTCATATTTGATGCAGGCCTGAGCCTCCGATGCCTAGAACGGACTTCTGGAAGTGGCATCATGCACTTCCGGTGGGCTGTTCTAGGCCTGGGAGACCTACTCCAGGCCTTTGATGCCTAGAACGCACTTCCGAAAGTGGTATTCACAGACTTCCGGTGGGCCGTTCTAGGCCTGGGAGGACTGCTCCAGGACCCCAATGCCTTCTCCAGGACTCTGAGGCCTAGAAAGAACTTCCGGAAGTGGTATCCATGCATTTCCGGTGGACTGTTCTAGGCCTGTGAGGCCTCCTCCAGGCCTCCGAGGCCTAGACTGGACGACTGAAAGCCAGCCGGTTCTCCAAATTAAGGTAAATTTAGCTACCGGTTCTCCTGAACCAGTGCGAACCGGCTGAATGCCACCACTGGTTACAGGTAATATGTAAACCAATTAAAATAGGTTAGTCTTGTTTCTGCCAAAAAACTGATCCAAAACAGATAAGAAATTTACCAAACATACTTTAAGTAGAAAGAAGCTTTCTAGTGCAGTGGTTCTCAACTTTTTCTTCATCATGGGCTCCCTTTAAAGACCTTTTTTGACCCTAGACCATGCCCTCCCAGGGATTTATGGACCACAGATTGAGAACCACTGTTCTACTGTATTAAATGTATTAATATATTAAACATCACTCATTAAACATTAGGATATATGGATCAATTCTGATGAAATTTGAAAAAATGAAGTTATTTGATGTTTATATTCAAAGCACTGAATCAGGTTTATTCCATTTTCCAAATAGACTGAAATCATCAAATCATTTGGCATCTGATTCAATTCAATCAACTCCAGATCAAATCTAAAAAATAGCTAAAATTAAAATTTACATAATACTCCATCGAAGTATACATACATAGGATGATCGCTACCAATTTTATTGAATTTAAAAGAAGGCTGGCCAAATTCATGGAGGATTGTAGTATCAATGACTTCTAGTCTTAATGTTACTTGCTATCTCTACAATCCCAGATGGTATGATTTGATTACTAGATGCTAGGAAGAGATAGCAGAAAAGAGTCAACTTCCTATCTCTGAGTTTCCTAAACACATCTAGTTGGACATTTTAATGTAGACTGCTGGAATATAAATATGGGCCACTGGCCTAATCAACTGGATGTTTCATATGTTTTTTATTTTATAGAAACAAGTATGAGCATGAAATATCATGCTGCACTGAAATGATTAAGGAATTAATAGAAATTCAGTAGATCAACCATTTATACAGATCATTTGTAGATATTTAGACTGGCCAAAATCTGTAATGGTCGACATACATACATGCAGTGGTATCTAAAGTTTGTGTGCCCTTTTCAATATTTTTGCATAAATATGACACAAATGACCACAGAAGTTCTAAAACATAATTAAAATAACTCAATTAAACAAATCAAAAACATTATCCTTGTTCATATTTTTATTGAGGCAAATGATCCAAAGGTACATGTCTATATGTGGCAAAATATATGAACCTTTCTTTTCAGTTATTGGTGTGCCAATTACTTTGATATGACCATTCCAAAAAAATATCAACTTTCCTCTGCTTTAAGTGTTTTCAGAGATATAACTTGTGGTTTTGTCATTGTCTAGCTGCCTGATTCCCTTTGTCTTAAGCTTAATTCATGGATAGATACCCTGACATTTTCCTATAATATTTACTGGTACAATTCAGAATTCATAATTGTATTAATAATGGCAAGCAGCTCTTGTCCAGAGGCAACAAAGAGGTACAAACCATGATATAGGTAGTCCTTGCTTAATGACTGGCCACTTAGCAACTACTACTGCAACTACTACTACTACTACTACCACTAATAATAATAATAATAAAGTTGGAAGGGACCTTGGAGGTCATCTAGTCCAACCCCCTGCTCAGGCAGGAAACCCTATACCATTTCAGACAAATGGCTGTCTAGTGTCTTCTTAAAAACTTCCAGTGTTGGAGCATTCACCGCTTCTGGGGGCAGGTTGTTCCACTGATTAATTGTTCTAACTGTCAGGAAATTTCTCCTTAGTTCTAGGTTGCTTCTCTCCTTGATTAGTTTCCACCCGTTGCTTCTTGTCCTGCCTTCAGGCGTCTTGGAAAATAGCTTGACTCCCTCTTCTTTGTGGCAGCCCCTGAGATATTGGAAGACTGCTATCATGTCCCCCCTCGTCCTTCTCTTCATTAAACTAGACATACCCAATTCCAGCAAACATTCCTTATATGTTTTAGCCTCCAGTCCCCTAATCATCTTTGTTGCTCTTCTCTGTACTTACAATTACTTAGTAATTGGTTGAAATTACAACAGACACCCCCCCTAAAGATGGTCTGATTCCAGAATTCTGATGACAGCATCCCTCCCCAAGACCACATCTTGGACACTTGGCAACCAGCTCATCAGTATGGTTGGTTGTAGCATTCTGTGGTTTCTGATAAAAGACCCCCATAAGAATGAATTAATTTGCTTAAAAACTGCCACAAAAAAAGTTGTAAAATCAGGTCAGTCACATGGGCACCTCAAGTTATGACTGTCAAGTCTTAACAACAGAAAAACAATAGCATTTTGGTTTATCAACCCACCCCTTAGTGCTTTTATAGCATTCTCTGGGCAGTTTGCAATGTCATAGCATTATTTGCATGGTCCTCATTTTACCAACCTCGGAAGGGTGGAAAGTTGAGTCAACCTTGAGCTCCATCAGGATTGAACTCCAGGTTATGGGTAGAGTTTGCCTGCAATACTGCATTATAACACTGTGCCACAAGGACTGTTATGAAAAAGAATCCGTAAGAGAAATTGCAGGGTCCATTACGATTATAGATTGAGGACTATTTATTTTGCCATGTTTCTCAGATGAGATAAGGTTCTTACACCGGAATGTGTCAAATGTTTTTGTCAAACATAACAGTTTCATTGAAACAAAAAAGTTATATTTTGGTTAGATCCATCCACAGAACATTCTTCTAATAACCTTTTGATTTGCTTGGATCATTTTCCTCAGGAAATAAACAATTGTAACACTTTTAATTCATTTGCTTAATTGGATTCGCTTTGTCTAATTTTGGGACTTGTGTGGAGAACAGATCAAGTTTTAGGTTATATTTATGCAGAAATACTGAAAATTCAAACAAATTCACAAACTTTTAAGCACTGTTGCAGCTATAACTAAGTAGCAGTGGCTCTAAATAGGAAATACTTTATGGTGAATCTTCCCTCTTTTTAAAATAGCCTTAGTAATAAAACTTTCTTCTGAGTCACGGCCATCTGAAACCATTATATTTTCAAAGTATTAGAAAAAACAGAATCTAACCTTGGAAATGATGTGACAGTGCAAATAGCTACATCTTTTTTTAGTACTGAAGCAGCTTCCTGGCGCCGCTTTCTCATGTTGTCCTGTACAGTGTTAAATTCAGACATTGTTCCTCCATAGGGCTGCCCAGGAGTCCCTTCGATCATGTAACTTCCGTATTCTGGTCTCCATAATGTTGGATGGCTGAAAAATCAAATGAAAACTGAAAGTATTTTCTACAACAAAGTATACTTACATAGCATGCAACTGTAATTTAGCTTTTAACTCTGAACCATGCAAACACAGATAAAAACCTTGACTCAGGATGATGATGGCTTAATCTAGTACCTTAATTTGCTTACAACAGGTGTCCCCAACCTGTGGGCCATGAGGGGATTGCAACTGGGCCACGGAAACAGCCGGCAAACACACATGCGCACCCTCACTTGTGCGAGTAGCATGCACATGCTCCATTTGCATGAACACTAGGCGTGCGTGCATGTCACTAATGTAAATGGAGCTGAATGCACATGCGCTTGCCAGCTGCTCAAGTGGAACCATCCCCTCTCCCCTCCACCAGTCTACAAAGCCAAAAATGTTGGGGGACTTTGGTTTAGAATGTGTTTTATGATTATCTTATTATCTTTTAGGGAGAAAATATGCAATAATGTAAGTACAGCAGCACTGTACCGCACACAATTAATCTTCAGGTCATCAAAGCCAATGAAGATATTTAAAAACATTGTATTTTGCCCATTCTTCAAATATAAAATTAAATATTTTAATAATTAAATATTAATTAAATTAAAAAGATATGCCACTGTGTTGCTGCAAGTTGAAAACACTGATCTTTTAGGCTACATGCAAACAGGTATTATTTATGATAATGCATTTCTCATTGTTTAGAAGAGAGCTAATTTGGTGAATTGATTAAAGAAACCAGTTACAACGGAGAGATTGCAAATTTTGGCCTGTATTAGCCAGCTGGATAACTTTGGGACCAGTCACTCTTTCTCATGGCAATGGCAAACTACTTCCAAAAACATTGCTGTAAAAACTCCATGGACCAGTCTAGGCAGGAGTCAAAAGTCACTTGTAATAGACAGATAAACTGAAATACATGCAGATTAATAACCTGGCTAAATTTCAGCATGTATTTTTATGAGCTGATGGTACTTACTTTGGATTTGTTCTTTCACCTTTTTCTTGCAAAGTATGAAGTACTCCTTCTCCAGTTAAAGACAACCGTGCTCTCTTATTTTTATGGTCAAAAGCTACTAACATATATTCCACCTAAAAGGCAAAGTAAGTTTATAATATAATTTTTAGCTCACAAAACAGAAAAACATCAAGAAGTTCACAAATTGGTCACCTGAGGAATTATAATTTTTAAAAGCAGCCTTCATGGTAATGTTTTCTAAAAATATATACTTTTTTATTTTTGCATATGAAGCTGCAAATTTTACAAGTCTTTTTTGCCCACAATATATCAGTAAAGAGTAATATTTACTCATTAGTTGCACAATGGTTTCTAGCCTCCTTGGTGTGGTTTTGATCAAAGATGAAAGCCTGCCTAAGCTTCTTTTCCAATCCATTCTACTTAAGTTTATCTCAATATTTTGTTCACAAATTATCACTTTTAAGACTGCAGCTACTCAAAATATAGAAGGCAACTAAAGTGAATGATAGAAAACTATAGCATCCAGCATTACATAGATTACAAAATCCAAATAAAACCCATCTTAGTCCTTTTTAAATCACAAGAGTTTAAATGAGGCTATTAAAAAGGTATGTATATTATATTTAACAATATAAACTGTCTTAGGAAATATAAACTGTATACCTTTCAGTACAATTTTATGGCTTGCTGCCTCAAATTGTTTTTCTTGCTGACTTCATGGGAATGACAAAGCTATCTTATCGACCTTTCCAACATGCAATTTATTTACAATGTGGTCCTTGTGCAGAATAACAGGACATTATTCTGTACCAAATTGAACTAAACAGAACTTAGCCGCTATTCAAGTCTATCCTAGCAGCCACGTCCAGTTACCTTGCCCAAGTTCAAAACAGAAGTGATGTATGATATCCAGGAAATCTTAACTGAAACATTATGTTGAGAAAATGAGTGATCCCAAAGAACTTATCTTTGATTATAGCAAGAGAGGCATTATCTTGCGTTGCTCAGTCAGTAGAAATCTACTGCTTCTAAAAGTATTTCACCTTCCAAAGCAGCAGGGAAGAAAGGAGTAACTATTAGCAGCATTAATGTGGCAGGTTGATTCTTCATTTAAAATTCTTAAGTTCTTCAATAAAAACTAATGTACATTCACTTTTCAGCTCGCCTCTATAATGTTTAAGGTCTACTTGTATCAGTTTTGGCAGCACAAAACAGAGATTTATAAAAGGAAATTAAGTGAAAAATATAGTTGCTTCTAGTTTCCTAAATATTATTATAAAATTTCAAAGTATGAGTTGCTGTTAAAGCTACTTATAAATCTTCCTGTTTCCTTTTTTTTCTGTTCAGCAAACAGAATGGAGGAAAAACACAGCGTTATGAATATTAACAATGCACATATGAACAATCTTTATTGCCAGTAATCTGCAAATACATGCTTGCTTTACCTAGAATATTATTCCCAGATCATCTGAAACCGAGATTTTTATTTTTTCAGGATATAACCTCTTCAATTACTACTTGAAAATAACAATACATTCACTAAGTTTTATTAGAATGCATAATGTATATTTTGAATTTGAATAAGGAAAAAAAACTAGGGGGGAGGGAAAAAACCAAATTGAGGCTGCAGTCGATAAGGAAAATAACAACAAAAAACAATAACTTTTTTCATCGGTGCAGAAACAAACATAAAATAGAAATCAATTTCTTAGGCAGCATTGGTGCTTTTCTGCAGAGATAATGCACAATCAACTTTCTAATGTCAACAGACAACATTTAGTCAACAGATAATAGTGAAGCTAGGCATGAAGCAAGCCTATAGGCAATTTCAAAGACAAATAGAGCACAAATCCTAGTTTGGTTAAAGCTTACATTTTCTTCATGTTGGTAGATAATGAACAAAACTTGACTGTGGTAAAGCAGTCAAGTTTGTCTTTTCAGCTTGCTGAAAGTTTGATTATGCAGAGTGTTTATTGCGTAGCATCAATTTGTAGATCAGAGAGTGTACTATCAGCAAAAGATCCTAAAACTCCTTTCGTTTCACTTAGAAAAGGTTTTACATTAAGCTTGGATTTCAGATTTCTAATATAAATTTGTCCTGTATTAAAAAGCAAACATCTAATCTCGTAAAAGCTTATATAGCGGAAGAGAAATCAGTAATCTTAATACCAAGAAATGGCACTGTTATATGTTTCCACAGTACAGCAAACTAAGGATTGACAAAAGCAAAAATTTGAAGCATAACAAAGCATTTTTTAAACTATAGATTGAACCTAATAATACCACTCAGATTATTATTCTATCAGTAAACCCATTTTATTATAGAAGAGCATTATAAAAAATACTATCTGTGTCATTTCCTTGGATATGTATAAAAGTATAAGAACTTTAACATCATCTCTACTCTACAGTTATAACCAAAGTTGATGATCTTTTATGCTAGTATAAGAATATGTATGTCCACCTATTTCCATAAATCTTAAAATTTAACTCCGGGTTTCTTTTTCTATTTATGATTTTTGTATGTATCTGCATTTTCTTATAAAACTCAAAAATACTGGGGTTTTGGTATCTTAAATACACAATATATGGTATGTTATACTAAAAAGCATTAATAGAAAAGATTTCTATTTTCTACATATTAAGTAAGCCCATATTGTTTAAAAATATTTTAATATCAGAAAGACCTAAGTTTTGTCTTTTAACAAAAGTTATAATTTGTGCTAAGTACCATTTGAAAGAATGGTATGACAAAGAATTGAGGCCTTTGAACTATGGTGCTGGAGAAGATTCCTGCGAGTCCCAGTCAGTCCTAGAAGAGATCAACCCCGACTGCTCTTTAGAAGGCCAGATCCTGAAGTTGAAACTCAAATACTTTGGCCAAACTCACTGGAGAAGGGCCTGATGCTGGGAAAGATTGAGGGCAACAGAAGAAGGGGACGACAGAGAATGAGGTGGCTGGATGGAGTTGTCTATGGGGTTGCGATGGGTCGGACATGACTTTGCAATTAACAACAAACCATTTGAATACTATTTATTAAAGGCAAAAATATATTAAAAGCAGAATGTGTGTCAGCTAATTTATTTTTGTTTTGAAACTTAACTCATACTGCCCTACAGATTAAAAAATTGTCTTTATAATTTTCTTATTTTATTAAAATTATATCCTGCCACCATTAAAAACAAGTCTTAATAGTTTGCACTAGGAGTGCAATCCAATACACTTTCCTGGGGGTCAGATCTACCAAAAACACTGGGGCCTATTTCAGAGTAAGTGGGATGAACATAATCTGTACAAACTTCAAATTCATCCCTAAGAAATTTTAACTTTAAATTTAGCGTATTTTGAATATAGCAGAAATAACCATAGGAAATTAGGAGACCTAGGCCAATTTTTCTATCGCCAAAACTACATATATGATTACACTCAAGTTAGTATTGATAGTTTTAATCAAGTTAAGACTTGTCCAATATTGTTAACTCTGATTACAAAATCTGATACTTCCTTTTGTTTCTGTCCCAAGGCTAAAATAATGTTTTAACAATCTGAAAGATCTGTCTCTTGGTGAGGCAAGTTAGGATGTATATAAGGAACCTGTTCAAACATAACCCTTCAAAATTGCTTCTCCTGCCACCAGAGTAGCTAACAAACCAGGAACTCTCTTGATAATTACAACCTCCAGCCACAGCCGAGCAAGATGCCTGCCTGCCTGGCGGCGCTCTTCCTCCTGTCCGAGGTTTTCATTGTTGTGAGCATTTCTGTTGAGGATTGGCAGCGGAGGTGGGGTGGGAGGGGTTGGTTTTTATTCCTCCCATCTGCTGAGTAGTTGCAGCAGGTTTTGGTCACTTCACATGACTCTGGGACACTGTGACCATCATAAATATGAATCAGTTAATAATAATAATAATAATAATAATAATAATAATAATAATAATAATGATCAAAAACAACAGAATAAGGCTACCTGCTTTGAAGCTTGTTCCAAAGAAACAGCTAGCACAAGCATTAAAAGATGCAAATATTGCAATATCAAGTATAAGCACCAATTCATTGCAAGAAACAAACCAACTAATGTACAGCACAGCTGCAGTTATAACAGAATACCTGGGATGCAAAATCAACAAAGAAGAAAAACAAACAAACAGTGCACCAGAAAAATGGAAGGTTAGACTAGAAAATAAGATCAGCAAGTTAAGATCACATGCAAGCAAGCTAGAACAGATGAAAGAAAAGAAGCTGAAGAACAAGAAGACCAAAGAATACCTAATCAAGAAATACCACTTAGAAACAAGGAAGATCAAGGAAGCACTGGAAATAATAAAGCAACAAATAACAGCTATAGCCAGGAAAATCAGTAGATATGAAGCTCGAATTGCAAACTATAGGCAGAACCTCCAATTTCAATCCAATCAGAAACGTTTCTACCAATCCATCAATGGAGAAACTGCAAGAATCAGTCAGTACCTGACAAGGAAGAAACAGTGCAGTTCTGGAAGCAGATATGGGATAACCCAAAGAAATACAACAAGGATGCGGCTTGGTTAAAAGAGGTGGATGCAAATAAAACAGAAGTTGAAATGAAAGAACTAGTAATAACAACAAAAATGGTAGAAAAAAGAGCAAAGAAAATCAAAAATTGGTCAGCACCAGGTGAAGATGAACTGCATGGGTTTTGGTTGAAACATCTAACTGTTATACACCCACTCATTGCCAAGCAGTTCAACAATATACTACAAGGAGGAGAAATTGAAAAGTGGCTAACAACTGGGAAAACCTACCTAATAATGAAAAATCCAGCAAAAGGGGCAACACCAGGTAACTACAGGCCAATTACCTGCTTACCAACAACTTTCAAATTACTAACTGGTGTGGTAGCTGATGCAGTACAACAGCATCTAGTTGAAAACAATCTCTTTCCACCTGAGCAGAAAGGAAACCGCCCCAATAGCAGAGGAACAAAAGATCAACTCCTAATAGACAAAATGATCTTGGAAAACTGCAAGAAAAGGAAGACCAACCTGAATGTGGCATGGATTGACTACAAAAAGGCATTTGACTCTCTGCCACATGACTGGATAATCAAGTGCCTAGAAATAACAGGAGTCAGTAGAA